AATAAACATCCATCCATCCAATTAACGCCATCCATCCATTAAAACATCCATTTGGTCCATCCAATAAACATTCAATAAACATTTCATACATCCTTCCACTAAACATCCACACATCCATCCATCCATTTAGTAAACACATCCATTCATCCAATAAACATCCATCAAACCATTCATCCCATAAACATCCATCCATCCAATAAACATTCATACATTCTTCCACTAAACATCCACACATCCATCCATCCATTTAGTAAACACATCCATTAATCCAATAAACATCCATCAAACCATTCGTCCCTTAAACATCCATCCATCCAATAAACAACCATGATGAGCTTTCAGAAAACCTGTCCTAAAGCCGGTCTACTTTTCATTGAATTAGTCACTAAACTTCACATGTTTGCCCATCACATCAGATTCCTAAAGACCAGCATGTGCTGCGTTTCCTGCGCTCGCGGGACTTCAATCTGGAAAAGGCCAAAGAGGCATTGTGCCAAACACTCACATGGAGGAAGCAGCATCAGATAGACTTCCTGCTGGACACATGGCAGAGTCCACAGCCGCTGCAGGATTACTACACTGGAGGCTGGCACCACCACGACAAAGGTCACTCTCAATATCATATAGACTTTGTGTAACTGCAGACATTTAAAAGCCAACTTTAGGTTGACAGAACTAATAGCAATACATTTCCCTCTCAATCTGTTAAAGGTCTCATGAAAAATAGTCTGTAGTTCATGATTGAGAGATGTTTTTCTCTCTATGCTTTCATCTCTGCTCAGACAACTTTTGATGCAGAAAGTTTGACTGCTGTGGAATTCTGTTGACATTTTTAGTATATTGAATACCTTAGTATTATATCAGTTGGTCATGATATACAGTATTATAAACATTTTAAATTTTACAGATTTATTTCCTAATGTTTGGCAGTCAGAGTTAGTAGACTGATTAATATATGCTAATGTGTTTTTGATGAGTATAAACAAAAAACATTGCAAGTGCATCAACTTATTCTAACTCCAACCTGTATATACAAATCAAAGTAGTCAAATATGGTCTTGTGCTTGTTTGTTTACGTTATGTAGATGGTCGTCCTCTTTATATCCTTCGACTTGGTCAAATGGACACCAAGGGCTTGGTGCGGGCGCTGGGAGAAGAGACACTCCTGAGACATGTAAGTGTTTGACTTGTGTATATGTGTGTGTGTGTGTGTGTGTGTGTGTGTGTGTGTGTGTGTGTGTGTGTGTGTGTGTGTGTGTGTGTGTGTGTGTGTGTGTGTGTGTGTGTGTGTGTGTGTGTGTATATATATATATATATATATATATATATGTATATGTATATATATATATATATGTATATGTATATATATATATATATATATATATATATATATATATATATATATTTTTTTTTTTTTTTTTTTTTTTTTATTTATATATATATATATATATATATATATATATATATATATATATTTTTTTATTTATATATATATATATATATATATATTTATATATATATATATATATATATATATATATATATATATATATATATATATATATATATATATATATATATATATATATATATATATATATATATATATATATCCAAATGGCTCTTTAAAAAAAGGCTCTTTGCTTTAAAAAGATGTGCCTGACTCCTGATCTATGGGAATAAAAAGATTATATATTTAAGTTCAAGTGACTTATTGCTATTTAACAAAATTTTTTTTTATTATTTAATGTTTAATGTTCTCTATTTTTTTAAACCTTTGTTTATTAGTTTTATTTAATATATTTTCCACAATAAATTAATTTAGGTGTACTAATTTTTGGATTTGGGATTTTTAAATTAGTTCCAATTTTGGCTTTGGTACTGACTAATCCAAGGGAGCCCAAACTGTGTTTTATAAAGGGTTAAAACCAAACTTGATTGAGGGTGGGAGGCTGAAATGCGGTAAAAAAATTTTACATTTTGTAATTAACATATTATATTGAAAACACCCACTATTTAAAAAAAAAAAAACACGACTGAATGTTTTGAATGAAAAGCTGTAATGTAGCTGTGACGGGATCAATTTTGGCGTGGCGCCCCGCCATGGAAAAATGAATGTAGCAGAAACCATGAAAAAGTATGGAATCACCACTAGTGGAAAATGTTCCTTTAAATGTTTAATTGTGTAGAAAAAAACATGCACATACCGTGCTCAGCATAATTGAGTACACCTCATTTTGAAAATGAGAATTTTTTTATCCATTTCTGAGTGAGTATACACATATATTTTGGTGCATTAAGACAAAACAGATTTATTAAACAAATACATGTATTAAAAATGATATTTTAGTCACCAAAAATGTTTAAAAATTAAAAAAAAATACAATTAAATAAAAAAAAAATCTAACCTACAAAAACGACGTTTTTCAATATTTTTGCTTCTCTTGATTTTTTTCTCTTTTTTTAAATTTGTATTTAATATTTTTCTTTAACATATAAATTTGCATGTACTAGTTTTTGTACCGTTATTGTGAGTTATTTTGTAAGATTAGCTCTAGATTCGGCTTCAGTACTAATCTAAAATATATGCACAAAACTAATATTGTATAGCATCCTATTAAAAATATGAACATAAAAGAGAGATTTGTGAGGGGTTTACTTATGCTGAACACTCTACATGCCACAACACAACCTTCTTGCTGTAGGAAACTCTTCATACTCCAAATGTATTTTCTCTTTTTAATCTGTAAAAACAGTTGGAGTTCACTAAAGTGTTCTTTGAGCGTGTGTGCATGCATGCGTTTCATACAGCCAGAAGGTTGGATTGTGAAATAGAAATAGTTTTGTGGCATGTATGTGCTTGTTTTTTTTTCCATTTAACATTTGAATAAATACCGTCTAAGAGTGGTGATTGTATACTTTTTGCCTGGGGTTGTATAATTATAAATTAAAAAAAAAAAAAACTTTCACTTTGTGCAAAAATGTTGTTTTCTTTTAGGTGCTCATGAATCCAGTTCCTCTTTTATCAATGGACCCTTTTCACAAGACGCTCATTAGCATCTGAAATCTTAAATAGTTTTAAATATTTGTATGTTTTTAAACAAATGAACATTTACATGTATTCATTTATGTATTATATAATCTTTATATCAAATTACCAACAAAAAAAAAGCAAACACACACATGACAACTTGTGTGAGGTGTTTCTAATGCAGATTGTATGGAGGCGGACAGTAAATCGGACATTATTCTCTCTTCTGCCTGCCGTTATCAGTCTCACACAGTTTTATTTCCATTGTCTGAAAGTCTTGATAACACCATCGTAGGTTTTTTTTTTTATATTTCACCAAATAGGATTGTACAAAAAAAAAATAAATGTTGTACTCTCCCTTTCTCCCTTCCGTACTCCTCTCTAAGTTTACCAAAATGTCTTAAAAAAGACCATTAGGTTACATTTCCAGGTTTCTCAAGACATTTTCTCATGTCATGTGTCATGTTTTTCTCTCTCTTTCTCTCAGGCCTATGACCGACGATTCCCGACCTGTCCTCTGATCCCCATGTTTGTGAAGAGCGACATCATCAACGAGAGTCACAGTGAGGACGGGGCCGAGCTGTTCATTGAACGCAGGTGTACTGTGGATGTTGAAGCCCCTCGGTTACTAAAGAGGGTATGCTATTTATTGCATGAGTTGGTCCCACTTTATATTATGTGGTTGTAATTATTATTGGGCATGGGCCGGGATAAGATTGTAAATGCATGATAACCGTGGATAAAAATAGCACGGTATTACTGCTCTACAATATGTCTTTTTAAATGTCTGGGTAAAACTTTTTTACCTCAGTAAATGCAATATATTTTATTTTAAGAACTATTTAAAGTATTTTGAAGCTCTAAACATGTCAGGCTAAATAATTAAACCAAATTATTGACTTCTGCTGTTTTCATTAGTTTCAAAAACACAGATTTCTTTACAACTTGAAAATGCGTCTTTCGATATCTCTCTTTTCCTTTGGGATATCTTTCCTTTGGATATAAAGTAAAGCCACTGCAGGGCTCATGTCCAGAGCATATATAAATCTGGGTTTTTAAGCAATTTGTTTTTCTCAAATGTTTGCGGATTATTCTGAACAGTAGCTTTTGATGTGAAAATAACGTTGCCCTAAAAAACGAAACAAAATATTAATAACAAAACGCATTCAAATAAATACTTGTGTACTGTAGGAATGGTATAATAGTATGCTGTATAACAGTACATCAATATAACCTAAATACTATGTACTTGCATTTAAAGGAACACTCCACCTTTTTTTGAAAAGACTGATTTTACAAATCTCCTAGAGTTTAATAGTTGATTTGAACCATTTTTGAATCCTGCCAGGACAAGAAATCCGCTGATTGGGTCACTTTTAGCTTAGCTTTGCATAATGAATTGAAACCGATTGGACCATTAGCATAAAGTTCGAGTTTTCTGAAGTTACAATATGTAATTAGAGTGACGGAAAATTATAAATTACATGAATGTTCCTAAGACATTTAGTGTTTGCTATATGACTCGTTTGTAAACAAATTGGTTATATTTTATTAATACAGTTCTCAGTTTTTAATCATTTAAATGATGTCATTACTTCTCCAAAAGTCATGAGAGAAACAAAAATCATTGGTCACACTTTTTTATAAATCTAATAATTTACGTTTTTGTACGAGCTGTTGCTATTAAACTCATTGAAGTAAAACGCAATGACTGTGTGTGCAGATAGCAGGAGTGGACTACATGTACTTCATCCAGAAGAACTCTCTGAACCGTAGAGAGAGAACCTTACACATCGAGGCCTATAATGAATCCTTCTCCAGCAGAGTCAACGTCTACGAACACTGCTGCTACACGGTCTGAAAACACACACTCTCATTTCACTCCTAATATCAGACGCTTTACATGTTAGCCGGTTTAACTGATGTCCCCATTTTTCCTTCTCAGGTTCATCCAGAGAATGAAGACTGGACCTGTTTCGAGCAGTCTGCAAGTATGGACATCAAATCTTTCTTTGGGTTTGAGAGCACAGCGGAGAAGATCGCAATGAAGCAGTACGCCACTAGTATTAAAAAGGTGTGTGAATTAACATTGTTTTAATGGAGTGTAGCATTAGTTCTGTCGGACATGTCAGTCAAGCTTGACTCTGATATTCATGACGTGCACCAGTCCGGGTCTGATATCTGTCACAGTGGTCTATTTCAATCTTCAAGTTTTGTCTGCTCTCCAATTTAACACCCCTCCGCCAACCCCAACTCCTCCTAGCTCATTGCTTATATCAGTTCGTTGTTTTAGCCAAGTATGTGGTAATAAACCTTCTCTGGTTTCTGGTGTTTGCATTAACTCTGAATCAGTTGAAATTGTTTTTGAATGCTTTTGGGTTCTGTGGGATGCATGCGCTTAATATATTTCTGCATATATTTGACGAAAGTGATTGTGACTGAATTTGGCCTGGCGCATGTCGTAATGTGATTCCAGAATATATTTAAAACTGATTTTATTCCACGAGTGCCTTAGCCATCTCGAGACCGTTTAATAAATGTAAAGATGTTTCATTGTCACAATAGTAATGATGTACAACCACTTGCATATTTGGTTTATGAGGACTTCTCATGGGCATTAAGTATTTTACACCTTAGCAAACTCCCTGAACATTTTTAATATCAAAAGTTTAAATGTCAACGTCAGATTTTTAAGCATTTTAAAAACCGAGGACACAGAACATGTCCTCATATACCATATTAGTAGTGTAATACCCAAGTTATACACGTTACAACACAGTCCTTGTATATAACATAAACCAGAACACACCCACACACAAATATTTCAGTCACTATTTATTTGAAAATATGTTTGCAAGTAAATGGAAAAAAATATTTATCACCTTTCATCTTAGGGTTTATGTGCAAAATAACGTATATTACATTACTCAAGAGAAATGTTATACAATTGTACTTTATGTTCTTTCCCAAAACCATAAATTGTGTGTGTTTATTATTCACAAAACATTCTCGTTTGCATTCTCTTACCACACCTTTTGTGTAATCTGGCATACGTTTTGTGCCCTCTCACAAAACATTTGCATTCTCTCACTATTTGTCCTTTCACTATCATATTCTTCCATTATTTCCATCATCTGATTTGGGAGAAGTCTGAAAGTATGGCTAAATATATAAATGGCTAAATATATAAATTACTGTATTATATAAATTACTAAATACGAAAATTACTAAATATGTAGATTACTAAATAAATAAAATAGGTAAATATAAAAACAAGCTATTAGATATATAAGTAAATAAATAGTTAATAAATATAGAAATAAGTAATTTTAAGCAAATTAATAAACAAAATAAATTAAAAAGAACAAGCAAATATATAAACAACTAAATATATAAACTACTAAATGTATAAATTACTAAATATGTAGACAACTAAATATATATAAATAAATATATAAATTACTAAATGTATATCTGAATATAAAAATAACTAAATATATAAATTACTAAATGTATAAATAAATATATAAATTAATAAATATATAAATAAATATTTAAATATCTAAGTATGTAAACTACTAAATATATAAACGGCTAAATATATAAATACATACATAAATTGCTAAATATATATGTAAATATAAAAATAACTAAATATATAAATCACCAAATATATAAACGACTAAATATATAAATAAATATATAAATTGCTAAATATATAAATAAATATTTAAATTACTAAATATAAAAATAAATATATGCATTAATAAATATATAAACTGCTAAATATGTAAATAACTAAATAAATAAATGACTAAATGTATAAACGAGTAATTATATAAATTACTAAATATATAAATTAATAAATACATAAATAACTAAATATATAAACTACTAAATATATATATATATATATATATATAATCTACTAAATGTAAAAGTAACTAAATGTATAAATTACTAAATATAAAAACAACTAAATGTATAACTAAAAATATGAATTACTAAATATATACTTAAATATATAAATTACTAAATATTAAAACAACAAAATATAAAAATAACTAAATATAGAAGTTACTAAATATATAAACAACTAAATATTTTTTCTACTAAGTGATTAAACTACTAAATATATAAACTACTAAATAAATAAATAATTAAACATATAAACAAGTAAATACGTATATAAACATAGATATAGAATTAGTAAATATAAGTAAATAATTAAAATAAATTCGAAAGAAAGAAAGAAAGAAAGAAAGAAAAAGAAAGAAAGAAAGAAAGCAAGAAAGAAAGAGGCAATGTTTACATCACATTCTCCTATTTGTTCTAGTATTTTGTACAGAAAGTTATCTTGGCAACATGAAGCAGAAATTACTGTAACATTAAAGCATCTATTGTTATTTATAGTGTTTGTCTGGATAAAAAACAAGCTGACAAATGTTGTATTCCCCTCAGAAACTGTATTATATTGCAAAACCTTCCTCTTACAAAATGTGTGTGTACTCTTGCAACATTATTGCATTCTGGACAACAGTTTTAAGCTATTTGCAGCATTCCTTTCATGTATTTGACTGAATAACTGTTCACGTAATCTAGATCTAAGCACTCATACTGGCTGACCTACGAGCTCTTATTCTCAAGGATTTCCCTGCTGCTTTTACACTCCCTTACGTTTGTTATCAGGATGTGTTTTGTTGTAATGTCCTGGTTCAAGCTGGCTCGCGTGTAAGAGTGTGTTTTCATGCGTCAGTGTATTTAAACCCAATGTTTACTCGTTTCATTTGTGTAAACTCTCGTATCACTCTTTATTTGTCTCTCTCTCTCCGCACAGGGAAAGGAGATTATTGAATTTCACCTTAAACAGCTGGAGGAGGAGGGCATTACCCACATGCCCCGCTGGGTTCCTCCTACTGCCCCTCAGCTGATACCTGTCAGCTCCGCCAAACCTATCCCAGCATGCACCAGCAGAGCTCACCTGGGTTCCACAGACGTCGTGCCAGGCTCTCCGGATGGTGAGATGAACCATAGTGCTGCCCGCTGACGTGTGCTCAGAACTATAATAATGTGGAGGAGGAATAAAAAGACACGGGCTGTTTCTCAATACGTATTTTAAGTGATCTTGCGTCATTGTGTTCTAGTCTAATGCCAAAATTCAGCTCCAAAACTCAATACAGCAAGAACAGAGGGCCCAAAACAGAACCCAGATGCATCTCGATATTTAGGATGCATCAAATGCAGACTAGAGCACAAAATTCGCTCTAGAAGCCCTCAAAGCCATTGCGGCTAAGTAAAGGAAGTTGGAAGCACATAATTTTATACATGTTTATTATTGAAGTTTAGAGATTGAGCTTATTTATTTCAGGAGTTACGTTGAAAGTAAACATCAGCATGAAAATCTTAATAAAGGCATAAATGCCTTAAGGGTGTTTATTTGCTGAAATTCATATTAAAATCAGTGTTATTTGTATTGTGCAAATTGTATTTGTAAGGTTTTTGAGCATGTTTTGCAAGTCCATTCTCGGCTTTCTTTTGGCTGTTTCACACCGCAAGCGTCAGCAGCGCATGAGCACAGCGTAAGCAGCGTGTGTTTTTTCGGCGTCCATGTTAACAGTTTAGAGCTTTCATACCGCACGCAGCAGCAGCGTTTGGTCAGTGATAATGACCAAAACACAATGAATGACAGCAAAAAGTAACAATTTTACCCAATAAATGCGTTAAAAATGTCAACTGATTTATATATATAGTCAATCAAATGAACTTAAACGATTGAAAACGGCAACAAATATTTATTTAGGCCCGAACTACAAAACCAAAGCTGCGTCCCAAATCGCATACTTATGCACTATTCTACGCCATTTTGTAGTATAAATAGTGTAAGTAGTGCCTTCACACTGAAAACACTAAAAATAATAATTGCACTTCAATTACCCGGATGATGCACTCATTCAGCCGCTAAAATGAAGTGTGTAATGATGAACACTTCACACACTCAACGACCGCAGGTTTGCTTACGTAGCGGAAGGGGCGGAGCTATCGGACGCACATGATGATAAACTTTATTTATTTTGGATGGTGAAAGCAAAATTCTCCTACGAGAGTGATTATAGCGCCTCCCGATGGTGAATGCAGCAATACTCACGGCAGATATTATTTGATAATTCGGTCATTTATTTCAATGATTTGGCAAACGTCATCAGGGAAACGGTTTGAATTTCCGCTTAGTAAAAAACATTAGTGTGCCATTTGGGACAACACTACATACATATACTTTCCTGTTGAGTGTGTAAGTGCATAAGTACATAGTGCATGAGTGCATAGTGTATAGTGTGCCATTCGGGACGCAGCTCAAATGTAAAACAATTGTAGTATCAGTTTTTCTTAAGTTGTATGCTAGTGTTGCAGGAGAGGGGAAATAGAATATTAAGGGGAGATGTAGTCCATTGCGAAGTGTATTGTGGGTAGTGTAGTTCGACACGCATGCTGGATTATGTGAGCTCGCTGTGTGCTGTGCAGCTCAAGCAGAGGAAGAAAGTTTTATTCGGCTTTGTTTTATGGTCACTCGAGTTATTCCTACCTGGAGCTGTTTGCACTGTGAATCTGACAACACGAAAATAAGTCAAAGAAGGGCATACATTAATTACTTTTGTCCGTCTCATCCTCTACACGAGCATGAATTAACGAGCTGTTATTCTGCCGCTGGACATCACTGAAGCGGAGAAAGTAACACTAGTTTGATCATGTATAAATATCATTATAACTATATTGCATTAATATTATTATATATAGGCTTACAGCAACCTGACAATCAAAAAACAAATGACATGATATCACAGGTCGATTGTCCTCTGACTGTAGACACTTCTCAAAGAGCTTGAGAAGCATACAGCACTATTTGATCTATAAAATTTGTAAAATAAACATTTGCAGGTTAAAGGAACAGCATAGGAGGAAGTTGCTGCGGGCCTTGGTGCAGATGAACAGTTTAAAAAGTGTATTTGTATATAGAGAGACATGGGTAACTAGATGGAATAGACAGATCTCTGCAGCAGCTGCTGAAGAGCTCCGGGCTGCAGACGCAGCTGGTGTGAAAGGCAAACGCCTGCGTGCTGCTTCTGCTCGACACGCGCTGCTCACGCACTGCTTTCGCTTGCGGTGTGAAAAAGCCGTTAGAATTGAGAAACAACCACTCTGTATCAGTATGTGCTGGCAGCTGAATAATATGGCACATAGCGGTATCTCTCTGTAAATCAAGACTGGTCCCTCACTGATTCTTGATTCTGGTCAATATCTGGATGGGAGAGATCCTGGGAAAGCTAGAATTGTTGTTGTATGTTGTTAGTGAGGCCAGCAGGAGGTGCTCAGTGAGACCTAATGCCCCAATATAGTGATCAGGACGATACTGTAAGACGCAACACTGTAAGACAGTAGTTTTGAGTGTTTAGTGCTTTTCTCAACTGTTTGACGGTTGTGTGTGTTTGCAGACAAGTTGGATGCAGACTACATCTCACGTTATTTGGGAACACTGACACCTTTCCAGGAGAGCTGCCTCATTCGCCTGCGACAGTGGCTGCAGGAAACACACAAAGGCAAGGTAGGTATATTCCTGAGAATTTAGCTGTTACTTGACATCACTAGTGTGTGTGTGTCTGCCTATCTGTGTGTACAAATATCAGCATGATAATAGTCATATGCATTTCTTGATCATCAAATTATGTTAAAATCACATCCCAATCACATTCATCCATCCTTCTCAATCCAATCCTAATTCATCTGCATTCATCCCAATCTATTCATCCATTTATATCCATCTCTATACCATCCATCCAAATCCCGTCCATCCATCCATCCATACATCCAATAACATCTATCAATCCATCCATTAAACATCTATTCATCCATCCAATAAACATCCATCCATCCATCCAATAAACATCCATCCAATAGGCATACATACATACATCCATCAAATATATGTCCATCCCTCCAATAAGCATACATCCATTCATCCATCCAATAAACATCCATCCATCTATCCAATAAACACCCATTTATCCAATAAACATCCATCCAATAAAGACATATCCATCCGTCCGTCCATCTATCCACCCAAAAACTTCCATTCATCCATCCAATAAACATCCATCCAATAAGCATACATACATCCATCCATCAAATAGATGTCCATCCATCCAATAAGCATACATCCATTCATCCATCCAATAAACATCCATCTATCCATCCATCCATCCATCCAGTAAACATTCATCCATCTATCCAATAAACACCCATTTATCCAATAAACATCCATCCAATAAAGACATATCCATCCGTCCATCTATCCACCCAAAAACTTCCATTCATCCATCCAATAAACATCCATCCATCCATCCATCCAGTAAACATCCATCCATCTATCCAATAAACACCCATTTATCCAATAAACATCCATCCAATAAAGACATATCCATCCGTCCATCTATCCACCCAAAAACTTCCATTCATTCATCCAATAAACATCCATCCATCCATCCATCCAGTAAACATCCATCCATCTATCCAATAAACACCCATTTATCCAATAAACATCCATCCAATAAATACATATCCATCCGTCCATCTATCCACCCAAAAACTTCCATTCATCCATCCAATAAACATCCATCCAATAAGCATACATACATCCATCCATCAAATAGATGTCCATCCATCCAATAAACATCCATCTATCCATCCATCCATCCATCCAGTAAACATTCATCCATCTATCCAATAAACACCCATTTATCCAATAAACATCCATCCAATAAGCATACATCCATCCATCCATCAAATAGATGTCCATCCATCCAATAAACATCCATCTATCCATCCATCCATCCATCCAGTAAACATTCATCCATCTATCCAATAAACACCCATTTATCCAATAAACATCCATCCAATAAAGACATATCCATCTGTCCGTCCATCTATCAACCCAAAAACTTCCATTCATCCATCCAATAAACATCCATCCATCAAATAAATGCCATCCATCCAATAAACATCCATTTGTCCATCCAATAAACAACCAATAAATTCCAATCCATCCAACCATCCATCCAATAAGCTTCCAGACATCCATCCTTTCAATAAACATCCATCCATCCAATAAACATCCAATAAACATTCATACATCCTTCCAATAAACATCCATCCATCCAATAAACATCCAATAAACATTCATACATCCTTCCAAAAAACGTCAATCCATCCATCAAATAAACATCTATCCATCCAACCAATAAACATCCATCCATCCATTCAATAAACATCTATCCGTCCATCCAAAAACATCCAATAAACATTAATCCAATAAACATCCATCCATCCAATAAACATCCATTCATCAATCCAATAAACATCCATCCATCCTTTTCAAAGAACATCTATCCGTTTATCCAAAAAACATCCAATAAACACTCATCCATTCATCCATCCAATAAACATCCATCCATCAATTTAACGCCATCCATCCATTAAACATCCATTTGTCCATCCAATAAACATCCAATAAACATTCATACATTCTTCCACT